TCAAAACACTCATTCCTAACACATACCCCTTGTTCATTTGACGTGCGCGCTCAGCCAATTCTTGCATCTAAAATGAAAAAAATGCACATAGATTAAAAGTGTAGAACAGTCCTAGGGAGAAACAGTGAAAAATTTGTGCGTTCTGCATTTTGCGATGCCTTCCATGGTTACAGTGAACCACCCTTATGTTCGTAGAAGGTGAGTAGACGTGTATTAGTCTGAATAAGCATGTCACATCACGACTACTCTCAGCAGGCACCCACCCCGTTGTTGTAAGTGTTCTGGTGAGCCATGCCTTGGAATTTTGTCAATTACTGAATCCCGAAATCAATGGTTTTTAAAACGTACGTTGCAACCATATGATTTTGATATCACCGGCTAAAGAATCACGCAAATATCTGGCAAGGAGTCTTGAATGAAGGACGAAATTGCAGCACACCTGTTGGATAACAGTTAAGGTCATTTATGGCTAAGCACCTGAGTCACTGACCAGTTGATTGGAGGGATGTGGATATGCAACCAGCCCATCACATACATGTCCTGATGACGAAGGATGGGTTGTTCTAGTCGAATTGCGACTGTCTCTGCAACTGCGACTTTGAAGTGAGTTGCTGACATCTGTTGGATCACAGTGAACCCGTTGACCGTATTAGTCAGATGGTTAACATTGCTCAGGTTACCCGCCATTGCACTGATCATGTGGTGTGGCTTACCACAATGGTTTTAGTATCTCTTGTGCTTAGAACTTCATTTCGATAGGCACGTTTTGGTCTGAACAGGCCAAGTTGGATATGTCTTGATCAGGAATATTACCGTTCAGTTCGGTTGAGCCTCTAACACGCTGAAATTTCTCATCAACTGCTCAGTGCTGAATGTTCACTTCAGAGAAATGGCCACCCGACGCGTAATCGTGTCAGAATCGTTGTAACTTGAGTAAGGTGTGCAACGAGTATAAACCATCTAAAAAATGGCTGTCCGGCCGTTTCACGTCTTGCAACGCAATGTTCTGAAGGATGGCTATTTTCTTCAGGTCTGTTAAGATAAGATGGAGTGTGGCATCAAGCGCGTACCTTGGTACAGATCCTGCGAACCCTGCTGGTGAGACACTTGATTACTTTTTTATGTTTACTGTCCTCAAAACCATGAAACATAGGGACCCCTTGGACGGACCCGTCTATTGGTATACTTATCTTTCAAAGTCTGCAATACCATTTTCGAGTGAGCGCCATATCCAAAAGGATGCCATTTTTGGCATTCGTTTTCAATCCGATTCTCGCATGTGCCTCATTTAAGCGCCCAAATGCTGTTCATTTTGAGGCACGCGAAAACAGTGGAAAGCGATGGTAGAGATATTGGAGTCAAACGGACCTACAACTTGACTCATAACTATTTCGTATGAGATTTGTTCAAATACAGGTTACATCTTCAAACAGCCTGCCTCTCTATAAATGACTTCACTGGTTGCAGACTGATCGTGGAGGAATATGTAAGGCAGATTTGGAATGAATGAATATAAGCGGCTGTTTTGATCATTGCAGTGTCTCTAAAAAATGCAGGATACTTGAAACGAGAGTTTTTTGTTGCCCGAAATTTGGTCACACAAGACGGAGCCAAACGTATCAAAGCGGCTGGTCAGCTA